TCTACTTCGATTCATGGATGGTTTGATTGATAAAAGTAACGCTACTGGTGGAGTTCAAATTTCAAGAATGAAAACATTTTCCAAATTCAATTATCTGTTGAGTACTTTTTTATGTGAGACGATTCCAATATCGTCTGGATAAAATTAAATCCATTTACTACTAGACATGGAGCTTCCGATATAGAATTTTATTACGGGTTTAATTGCAGCACTCAGGCTTTTCCCATATGTTTCACATATTCAAGCATAGCGCGTACAATCTAACGACATCATCGATCCAATCGTTTTTTTTAACCACAATTTCGGAAAGAACAACTTTGGTTATCATTTAATTGACGATTGAGCACTTAAATCGATTACTGTTGCATACACAAACCGTTCACTTCTTTTTTTCCACTGTACTAAAATCAGATTATTTTCCATTAAAGTAGAAAGCATGCAAGAATTCAGTTTGCCGTCTATCAGCAAATGATGTTTGGAATAGCGTTGAAAAGAGAACCACAGAAAAATGCAGCAAATATGGAAAAAGCGTAAAACACGATTCACATTGTATAAATTATTATTATTGACAGTGAATGATTTGTTTACTTCGATTGTTTTACGGTTTTTTTTTGTCTCTTTTCCGTTTGTCTTTATTCCGTGGTTGGTTTTAATATACATATTGTCTGGAACAAATTTTAATTGGCAACTACAATTTTAACTACAACAAATTATTGTTGCTGAATTTTTTCCTCTATTTTTTCATTTTGTTGACTTTTTCTCTATATTTCACTTTTTCTCTTTACTTTTTTATCTCTTCCACTATTTTCTCTCTCTCTCTCTTCCTCACTCTATCTTTCCCTTTTATTTTGCCTCTTTTTCTACTTTTTCCATATTTCCAATTTTTAATTATTTTTCTCTTGTTCTCCAATTTTTTTTTGGCATTTTAAAAGGGTTGCCCACAACCAAAGCCCGATATGTTGAATGTACACATCGTGGCCCATACACATGATGACGTCGGCTGGTTGAAAACAGTGGATCAATATTATTATGGGGCCAAACCAACTATACAAAAAGCCAACGTAGAGAATATTCTTGATTCGGTGGTATCGGCACTGTTAAAAGATCCTGAAAAGCGATTCATTTACGTGGAATCGGCCTTTTTCTTCAAATGGTGGAGTCATCAAGCGGCAGCATTCAAAGAACAAGTCAAACAGCTGGTAAACGAAGGTCGGCTGGAATTTATCGGTGGCGCTTGGAGCATGAACGATGAGGCAGCTACGCATTATCACAGCACTGTCGACCAATTTACATGGGGCTTACGGTATGGTAACATGAGACAGACGTACGTTGAACGAAAGATATTAATAAAATATTTGGTTTCGGTCAATTATCAGGAAATTGAACGATACCTTCGGAGAATGTGGACGACCGAAAATTGGCTGGCAAATCGATCCGTTCGGCCATTCAAGGGAATTGGTATGTGAAAATGGTTGTCATCAAATTAAATTTTTGATAACGCTGATGACCAATGTAAACAATGACAATCAGGAAATTCAAACAATATTAATGCGCAAAATAACTCTTGTCCTAAAAATGTAGGCATCATTGTTGGCACAAATGGGATATGATGGATTGTTTTTGGGTCGAATTGATTACCAAGATAAAGTGAATCGGTTTACAAACCGGGAAGCGGAAATGGTTTGGCATGCAAGTGATAGTTTAGGCGAAAAAGCGGATTTGTTTACCGGCGTTTTGTACAACACATACAGTCCACCGCCAGGATTCTGTTTTGATATTCTCTGTGCGGACGAGCCAATTATCGATGATAAAAGCAGTCCCGAGTATAATGTCGATCGAAAGGTAAATTTAATTTGCATTTGACGCCATTATTTTCAGTCATTTCGGAGTGAAGCTCATAAAAACAAACATATACAGTCATGGACAAAATTGAGCGTACGCCTATAAATTTTGTGTTTTATTTTTTCCAGTAACTTTTCATCTCAAATGTAATATATCAATGGGAAGTACATAAAAAATCAATAATATTGGCAATTTTGAACATCTAAATTGGCCGGCCAATAGGCGGCTTATGGCTCTCGGTAAAAATGGCCAAAAATTCAGCCGTTCGATTTGAAAAGTTTAAATGCAGTTTTGAAGGCCTTCAGGAGCAGATACTTTTAAACGCTGAAAACTTTCGGATCGCCTTCAATTTGGGCAAGTTATGGCCGTTGGAAAACCCAAAAAAATTTTGACGAAAATTTTCGTACGCCTATAACTTGGTCAAATTGTAACCGATTTCTATGTTTTATACTATTAAAATTATCTTCATTAAATGGGCTTTCCAACGACATATGACATTTGGCAATCAAACGCTTGGATTAATTTTTCGGAAAAAATCGGCCATTTTTCCAACAGCCATAACTTGGCCAAATTGAAACCAATCAGAAAGTTTTCAGCGTTTAAAAGCATCTGCTCCTGAAGGCCTTCGAAACTGCATTTAAACTTTTTAAATCGAACGGCTGGGGAAAAAGTTGAATTTTTGGCCGTTTTTACCGAGGGCCATGAGCCGCCTATTGGCCGGCCAATTTTGATGTTCAAAATTCCCAATGTTATTCATTTTTCATGTACTTCCCATTGATATATTACATTTGAGATGAAAAGTTACTGGAAAAAATAAAACACAAATTTATAGGCGTACGCTCAATTTTGTCCATGACTGTAATTCATTTTATTTGCGAAAATTTGTTAAAACTTTGACCTTTGAATCGAAACAAATACAAAACACTGTTGAACCCGGTTCGTGACATCGCATAGTTGAGCGTATTTTTCGATTTCATTGGCAAACAAGCCAATACAACACGAACGAATAACATCATTGTTACCATGGGCGGTGACTTTACCTATATGGACGCCGATATTCAGTATACGAGCTTGGATCGATTAATTAGGTGAGAAAAGGAGAATAAAAGGACACGTGTCGTATATCGATTTGGAGATGATAAGTTACCATAACACTCGCATGCTGGCCTCATATCTCCTACTCTCCACCATTCTTCGCTCTGTGTTTGTTTGACCTGTGTTTGATTTTGAATCAAAACCTTTGCATTTCGTCTTGATGTTCTGTTTTGAATCATGTACCACTTTCGAATTGCATCATCATCGCAATATGAAAATAAATAATTAAACCGATTTTTATCGAATTTTAACGCACTTTGTTATTCTATTGACATAGGTTGGTGAACTTTTGAATTACATTAAAACGGCCCATTCGAAGTACCGTACACATAATGTGCTAATTACGATGGGGGAGGATTTTCATTATCAAGTGGCCAATATGTGGTTTAATAACATTGACAAAATCATTTTGTAAGTTTCACTCAAAAATTGATTTTGTCACTAAAAAAAACCAAAGTAATTGATACATCAATTATGAAGCCATATATGGCTTCGTCAGGGTTTCACTTCATATCAATCGGTATCGTTCCCATTTTATTTTAAACACATTCGAAGGTGTTGCATTTCGATAAAACAAAGATAAACAATTTAAAAAGGGGACAGACACATGGACTTTATGCAAACAAATAAGCCGATTTAACACAGAAAATCAAACAAATGCAAAGAAATAAAACAAACCGTTCAAAATTCAACGCACGTCAAAATTGTGTCAAGTTTATTGATTCAGCCCATTGTTAGCGCCTCTAATCACGGTTTCGGAAGTCTGTATTTTGGTTCTATTCTTTGTCATTGAATTATTTCATTATCATTTAGCATAAGAAACATTTGGATTTGGTGCATTTTTTCATACTAACACGTGCTATTTCAATTAGGTGGCGGATTTGTTAGAATATTTCAAAAATGCTTTGGGTGCTTATAGAACAAATAATGTTCTAATCACCATGGGTGATGATTTTAATTATCAACATGCACCAGCATGGTTCAATAACCTTGACAAAATCATTTTGTAAGTTTCAATTCCTTATCTTGAATTGCCATAACACTCTAAATTCTCTTACCAATAACACTCGATATTTACATTGCTTGGTGATTGATGTATTTAACCACAAATTTTTATTGGTCATAAACTTGCTTAAATCAACTCTATGTTTTATTGGAAAAGAAACATCAATCAACGACAACTCAGCGGATTGAAGGTGAACGCATTCTATTCAACACCATCGTGTTACTTGAAATCTTTGTACGATTCGGGCATCAAATTTCCAACAAAAAGTGATGATTTCTTCCCATACGCATCTGATCCACACTCATTTTGGACCGGCTATTTCACATCGAGACCAACGCTTAAGCGATTTGAACGAATCGGAAATCATTACTTGCAGGTATGGAATTGCTTGTTCCGGATAAAATTCATGCCTTTTGGATAAAATTTAACTAAAATGATTGTTTTTTAATCAAATCTAAAACGAAATTAAATCACAAACTAAAGACGGATTATTTTGTGATGCATTTATCAATTAAAATCAACTTCCATCGAACTCTATTAAATTCCGTTCAATAATTGACTATACAGTAGAACCTCGATTATCCGTCAGGCACCGGACCAGCGCATTGACGGATAATCGAAAAAAAACGGATAATCGAGACTTTCATATAAATAGAACAAAATAATCCAAATTTCCATACTTTCTAATTAGTTAATGATGAAAAAGAAGGTGATGTAAAAAATATATAATAGATATGAGAACAGATTTGGTGCATTGTCCAAAATATTGGACAATCTTGTATATACGAGAAGTGTACCGAAAACGCAAAGCCTCTGATTTCAAATCTTATTGTGCGAATGTACAAGGGGCACACAATTGATTTTGATTATCAAAGTTAGTTGGCAACTTTATTCGTATGTTCAAGCAGACGTGTGCAGGGGGGGTATTCCGGTTTTACCCCCCCTCTAGGATTCCAAAATGTGGACCCCCCCAGCGATTTGGAAAATTTGACACTAGATATAATCGATTTTCAAAAGTGAGGACCTTTTTTTTTTGGGTCTTCACTTGTTTTTTGACACCCATTGGCAAAAGTTTAGACCCCCATTGTGGAATTTAGACTGTTTTACACTAGATATAATCGATTTTCAAAAGTGAGGACCTTTTTTTTTTTTTTAGTCCTTACTTTTTTCGGAGACTGGTTTTACACTAGATAGAATCGATTTCCAGACCCCCCCCCCCGGGCAAAATCATTTTACCCCGCCCCCTAGAATTTTTGACCTTGCACACGTCTATGTTCAAGTGAAATAAATTGAAAAATGAACTGAAAAAAAACTTTTCCACCTTGAAAAGGTGTGACGGTTAACGGAGGTGACGGATAATGGGAGGACGGATAATCGAGGTTCTACTGTATTTTCAATTTCTAACCGCTTTTTCCCGTTTCCAAGGTGTGTAAGCAATTGAGTGTGTTAGCAAAGAAGAAAACGGCCAGCTTTGAGGAAAATCTTTCGAATTTGCGCGAAGCGATGGGTGTAATGCAGCATCATGACGCGGTAACAGGCACTGAAAAGCAACATGTAGCTGAAGATTATGCACGTTTGCTACAAATCGGAATTGAAAAATGCAGTGAAAACATCAAAGAGTCACTCAACCAATTGACCGTTGATGACGACAATTCGGAAATAACCCGTGATGAAGGATTCGATTCGAGATTGCGTTTTGAGTACGAAAGTTGTGCTGATTTGAATATCAGTTCATGTGATGTTTCTGAAAAAAGTGATAAATTCGTAGTTAGTCTATACAATCCGTTGGCTCATTCAACATTCCAATATGTCCGTGTCCCAGTTACGGATGGTGATTATGAGGTGTTAGACTATAGAAATGTGCCGGTGGCTTCGCAAGTGGTTGCAATACCAACCGAAGTTCAATCTTTATCCTTCCGAAAAAGTAACGCTGAGTCAGAGTTGGTCATATTGGCCAATGAACTCCCGCCACTTGGTTACAAATCGTACTATGTTCAAAAGAAGCCTAAAATTGCCAAGTCAATCGAACCGGTTGTGACGCTAGTCACGCACAGAGACGAATTCATGGCTGATGATTCGTTTGCCGGCAGAGAAACGGGACCATTCACAATTGGAAATCAATATTTAAACTTGTCATTCAATGAAAATGGCCTTTTGGAATCGGCCGCAACCGAAGAGGTACAAATGAAAGTTCAACAAAACTTTTATATCTACCAAGGATTTTTGGGCAATAATGAAGTGTGGGAGAATCGATCATCTGGAGCTTATATTTTCAGGCCAAACGGCACTGAAGTATATGATGTCGCCAAACATGCTGATGTCCGTGTGATTAGAGGCGATTTGGTTGACGAAGTTCATCAGGTGAATTTGCATTTTTTGCTATCAAATTTTGCGCTTTTTAAATTTTCGGTTATATCAATGACAAAGACACATTCTTCGCAAGACAAAAGAAAAAGAAATTAATTTCATCTTTACTTTTCCAGACCTTCAACGAATGGATAAGCCAAGTGGTGCGAATTTACAAAAATGAAAACTATGCAGAATTCCAATGGTTGGTCGGCCCAATTCCTGTCGCAGATAAAATTGGCCGTGAAATTATCACGAGATTTGATACCGATATTCAATCAAATGGAATTTTCCACACCGATTCGAATGGACGTGAAATGTTGAAACGTGTGCGTGACCAACGACCCACGTGGAATTTGACACTGTGGGAAAAAATAGCTGGAAATTACTATCCAATCACATCGAAGATTGCTATTGAAGATAACACCCGTCGATTTGCTATTCTAAATGACCGTGCACAAGGTGGGAGCAGTTTAGCTGATGGATCGATTGAATTGATGGTAGGTGTCTGGTTTTCAAAGATACAATTTTTGAAGTAATTCAAGGAAATTGGCTCTATTTCGACAAATATCAGGTTCATCGTCGGCTATTACATGATGACGCATTCGGAGTTGGTGAAGCCTTGAATGAGACGGCATATGGAGACGGATTAATTGCACGTGGCACAAGTTACTTTGTGTTTGGCCCAAAAAAACACACTGAAAAAACATCAACTGAAGCGAATGAACGATTTGTTCAGCAACAAATCCTTTTACCGAGTTGGTTATTCTTCAGCAATGTCAGCCATCTCAGTTATGATGTGTGGAGGAACTCATATAAAAATATCGTACGTGTTTCTTAATTCATTGCACCAAGCATCTCCTAAATTTGCAATGAATTATTTCCATATTTCATTTCTAATCGATTCGATTTGTCAATTTTAGTTCTCCGGCCTGTCGCTTTCACTTCCCAAAAATATCCACTTGCTCACATTCGAGCCATGGAAATCCGATTCGATTTTGATTCGTTTTGAGCATATTCTAGAGAAGGACGAAGACAAACAGTATTCTCAAGCAGTGACATTCAACTTCCAAGATGTGTTCCGGTCGTTTGATGTGATTTCAATTCGTGAGGCAACACTCGCAGCTAATCAATGGTTGGATGAAGCGAAACGCTTGCATTTCAAATCTGATAATTTGAATGAAACTCCATCCACAACGGAAACCGCCACTGTCAGAATGTCTGAGCATGAAAGAAGACATCCACAGATTGATATCAAACCAGATGTTTCACCGCGACAATATTCTAAACGAGCATATAAACTCATACGCCAAAATGCTGTCGAAGGTGACAACAATGACCTGACGATTACACTGAAACCGATGGAAATTCGCACTTTTATTGTCGAATTGGAGCCGAAGCCATAAATAAAACTAGAAAAACTTCCTTTATATTAATATTCTTAAATTAAATTGGTATTCACGGGGAAATGATATCTTAATTGATCTTAAATTAGAATTTTGAAGATGTTATGACCAGAGTCACAAAACTTGTCAGTTGCTTGAACCTAGAATTTTATGAGAATAATAAAGAGACAAAAAAACATATTTGATAGAAATGGAATGTGCATTTTTGTTTGCTGAACATTATTTGCCGAGAATGATCTCTTGAAACGAATAGATGTAAATTGTTAATGTGAGCTCGAAGGTAAAAATTTGCATACCATAATAAATCTCGGTGCACTCAAACTAATGATGCGGTTTATTTCTTATTTATTCCACTCTAGTTTTGCTCTCGCACACTCTTCGTATGTTTCTTTCTAAGCTGATCCTTTTGCGTGTTACATACGAACTGCAAACGAACGTATAGTAGTCATTAGTAGTTCTATCTAGCGGTGTGCGCATAGTTTATACTATGAAATACATAGAATGGAATATAAGAAGATTATGCGAGGGTACCGAAATAAGGCGAAGTTCAAAATCATAAACCACATAATAAGTTTGGGTGCACATATTTTTGTTGAGACGATACGTAAGTATTATGGATTAGTGTCAAAGATGTCCAATTTTTAGTCTCTGACCTTTGCTCTGCCATCCTCATTTTGTGTGTACGATAGAAGAGTGAACGTAAAACGACGAAATGTGATGATAACCTAGCAACCCCAGTTTGAAACGATCGTTTGAAGTGTATAGATCCTTTCGTAACAAGAAGGTTTGGTTCGTGAGAACATTTACCAAAATGAAGGTGATTTCTTCAGTTATTCTACTTGCTGCATCATTTTGCTGTCAAGGTGAGCATTTTTTCCCTGTATTTTTTTCAAATCTAGTTGATCAATCCTTTATTGACCGTAGTATTTTCGTACGAATTAGAAGCAGCAATAGTGTCTCAACAACATAAAAGAGTGGAACGAACATGTGGATATGATGTAAGCATTTTAAGTTTTTATTTTTGCAAAGAAAAAATTGAAACCAAATTACAAAGTGTGAATTAACAATATGATGTGATTTTGATTTCAAAAGGGTTGCCCAAAACCAAAGTCAGACATGTTAAATGTGCACATCGTGCCGCATACACATGATGATGCTGGCTGGCGAAGAACGGTCGATCAATATTTCTATGGTACGAAAATGAAGCTTCACAAAGCGAGCGTTCGAACTATTCTGGATTCGGTTATTAAGACACTGCTCAGTGATCCCGAGAAGCGATTCATTTACGTCGAATCGGTATACTTTTTCAAATGGTGGAATCTGCAAACGGACGAATTGAAATCGCAAGTCAAACAACTGGTAAATGAAGGACGATTGGAGTTTGTGGGAGGTTCTTGGACTATGAACGACGGAGCAGTGGCGCATTATCAAAGCATAATTGATCAATTCACATTGGGATTGGGGTAAAAATGAGATTGAAGTTAAATTCATAAAGCCATATTTTTAATATAACAATGGTTTGATACTTATTAGGAAGTTGAATGACACTTTTGGAGAATGTGGCCGACCGAAAATTGCGTGGCAAATCGACCCATTTAGCCATTCAAGAGAATTTGTATGTAAATACTGACGTAAATATTCAAATGGTTCTACTTTTAATTGTCGATATGCTTTGTAGGCATTTCTAGTCACACAAATGGGGTACGATGGATTTTTCATAGGTCGAATCGATTACGAAGACAAAATCAATCGAATCAAGAATCGTAACTTGGAAATGGTTTGGCATACAGGTGCAAACGCTGACATATTCACTGGTGTTTTATATAATTTATACCACCCACCGCCAGGATTCTGTTTCGACGTTTTGTGCGATGATGATTTGATTGTTGATGACATAAACACCCCTGAATACAATTTGGACAAAAAGGTAATTAATAAATGAAAATAAACGTTTTCGCTGGCGAAAGATCATTTGAAGACCGTTCAATATATATCAGATAGTTATATAGACTCCATGACTCTATGAAGAATTTTCTTTTTGCTTAATTCAAATATAGTTGGAGGCTTTTTTCGAATTCATTGAAAAACAATCGAGTGTTATGCGTACGAACAACATTATTCTCACAATGGGCCGTGATTTTACGTACATGAATGCGGACTATTACTTTTCAAATTTAGATCGATTGATCAAGTAAGAAAACAGAATTAATTATATCGACTTAAATACTTCAATCGATGCGATAATTTTATTCTTCTCTCCACAGACATATCGATAAGCGTCAACGCAACGGATTGAAAGTGAATGCATTCTATTCAACTCCATCGTGTTATTTGAAGGCATTGCACGATCAAACGGGTATCACATGGCCAACGAAAAACGACGACTTTGTTCCGACCGCTTCGACTCCCCACGAATATTGGACTGGCTATTTCTCATCACGACCAACTCTAAAGCGCTTTGAACGAGTCAGCAATCAATATTTGCAGGTGAATAACATTGAACACAGTGCAATCTGTACCCTCAGTGTTCAGAACATTTTTTTTTTGATAATTCCCAACACCAATACTCAATATTAGATAATAATTAATAAGTGTTTTAAAACTTTTATTTTTAGATATGCAAACAACTAACAGTTTTGACAAAGAACAAAGTCTCAAATTCTCAGAAAAACATTGATCATTTGCGAGAAGCGATGGGAATAATACAGCATCACGATGCAACATCAGGCGCCGTAAGGCCATACATTGTGAATGATTATGCGCGATTGTTACAAATTGGAATCGATAAATGCAGTGAGAATATCGAAGAATCGTTAAATCAATTGATCATTGACAACGGTAACAATTCAGGAATATCTCGACATGAGGGTGTTGGATTGGATTTTAAAAGCTGTGCCGATTTGAACATCAGTTCATGTGAAATCTCTGAGAATAGTCACAGATTTATGGTGACACTTTATAATCCATTAGGTCATTCAACACATCAATATGTTCGAATTCCGGTTCGGAATGGCAAATTTGAAGTGTTTGACCATAAAAATGGGTCGATGACTTATGTATTGGTACCTATCCCAAGTGATGTTCGAAGATTATCAAATCGAGAAAATGACACTGTGTTTGAATTAGTCTTTTTTGCGACCGATCTACCGCCCCTTGGATATAAATCGTATTTTTTGGAAAGAAAATCCAATCTGGCAACTGTTAAAAGTGAAGTTCCTGCAAAAATTCAAGATGAATTTATAACAACTGATGCAAATGGACCATTCACGATTGGAAATCAGTACCTAAACTTGACATTCGACGTAAATGGTCTTCTCGAATCAGCTGCAACTGAAGAGGTTCAAATGAAAGTACGTCAAAACTTCTACTTTTCATACACTTTTCGACCAAATGGTACACAGGCATCTCAAATTGTGGCAAAAGCCAATGTTCGATTGATTCGAAACAAGTTGGTGGATGAAGTTCATCAAACATTCAATTCGTGGTTAAGTCAAGTGATTCGAATTTATAAAGCGGAAAATTATGCAGAACTGCATTGGGTGGTCGGTCCAATTGATGTTGATCATGAAATCATCACGAAGTTTGATACTGATATCAAATCGAATGGAGTTTTCTTCACCGATTCAAATGGCCGTCAAACGATGAAAAGAAAACTTAACCATCGTGATACATGGAATTTAACGTTGTCAGAACCAACCGCTAGCAATTACTACCCAATCCAATCGAAAATTGCTATTGAAGACAACACCCGTCGATTTGCCATTCTGACCGATCGCTCACAAGGTGGAAGCAGCTTGAAAGATGGATCGATTGAATTAATGGTGAGTTTTACACGTCATAAGAATTGAAGCTGTCAAATTGAAGACTTCTCGATCTGCAGATAATAAATTTAATGTTCTCCTTGATTAATTTAAGGTTCACCGACGTTTAAGTATAGATGAAAGCCCTACATTTGGTAAAACTTCAAACGATATGGCCGGGAATGGACGAGCTGCACGAGGTACACATTACTTTGTGTTTGGATCAAAAAAAATCGCGACAAAAGCATCAACAGAAGCAAACGAACGGTTTATTCAGCGACAAATGTTTTTGTCGAGCTGGTTGTTTTTCAGTAATATGCGTCACTTAAGTTACGATTTATGGAGGAAATCGTATGAAAATACGGTAGGTACTTTTGAAAAAAAAACTCCTTTGACCTTTTTGATATTCATCTTCTCATTTTCTTTTCAGTTCTCTGGAATGTCAATTTCATTCCCCAAAAACGTAAATTTACTTACATGTGAGCCGTTGGGACCCAATTCTATACTAATTCGTTTCGAGCATATTTTTGAGGAGAATGAAGACAAATTCTACTCTCGACCAGTGTCTTTTAATCTTCGGAATGTGTTCACAACGTTTGATGTGACATCGATTCGTGAAACAACACTCGCAGCTAATCAATGGTTGGAAGAATCGAAACGATTATCATTCAGTACTGAAACTAGTGACGCGAATAAAATAAACACAGAGCGAGAAATTGATGCGAAACCAAATGATGATGACTTCGAGATTTCATTGAAACCGATGGAAATTCGAACTTTCATTGTCGAATTCGAATGGAGGACGTAAACCGTTGAGATTTCGACTTTGGGCCACAACGTACAATTTTATTTAGAAGGCCAAATGTCGCTTTCTGAAATTGAACTGATTGAATTTGAACAACTTTATTACACGAAATTTGTTTTATGTTTTATTTGAATACTTGACATAATAAATAATTAATTCAATGGAGAAACAATGTGTACTTCTTCTGTCTGCTCAAAAATAGGTGAGATCAGTCAAAATGATATGAATTTGGTGTATGTGTGTTGCAAGCACCTAATCATATGACTAAAATGGGCAAATTATCATTCAGCAAAAGTAAATTAATATTATGGTGCAGGTGATGAACACAGTTTATTTGTTTTGACCATAAATTACCATTTATTCTATTAATATAATTTATGCTTTTTATAAAATTGAATGTTCGTGTGTCTGTCTGTCCTATATAGATTCAATCGGCTAGTTTTTTTTTAATTTCGGCTCTGTTATTATGCGTTTCGTTAGAATTCTCCGAGCTGAGAGAAAAAAAATTGACATAGTAAACAATGTGACTAATTATTATTACAATTGAAAAACAAAAAAATGACACAAAAAATCAGGTTTGAATAAAAAAACACATACATTTTGAAACGATAATCAATCTTCCTCGGTGAAAAAATCAATATCTATGATTGTTTTGAGTAAATAATGTAAGCAATATGTAGGTATGCTCTCAATTTAGTTGAGAGTCGGCTGAAAAACAGATTCTAAGCATCCCAAATGAATTCTTTATTGGATAGCATTTGAATAAAACAAACAGAATAAATTTATTCACTTTGTATTCACACTTTTTATTGAGACTCAATTCAATTTTTGAAACAGTCGTTTGGCAACTGTTCAACGGAATAGCCATAATTTAAGTCTATTCTTAAATTTAAAATCGTCACTTATTTTAGAAATTTAATTGTCATTTTTTTTATTTTCACCCAATCAATTGAACTCATTTTAAAGTAAAATTAATGTATTCATTGGAATAATTTGAAGTTTCGGAAAAGTTTAAGGAAAACATCTGAAAATGGGGCAATCATCAAATTTATTAACAATTTGTGTATTACTCGCAATAGTTTCTGGTGAATTAGAAACGGCTTCAGTGGTTCGAAACAATGGAGCAAAAGAAAGAGTTTGCGGATATGCTGTGAGTGTTTTAAATATTAAGAGAAATAACGACATTCATTGAGAACTAAAATGATAAATCAATTTTGAGACGATGCAAGTTAGGATAAAATTAAAAATAGTGTGAGCGGTGCATATAGTGTAACTGATTTGCTACAACTCTAAAAACATATACATACACAAGTTGACATAAAATGAATAATCCTCTTTCGGTTGAGTTCACTTTGATAATGAATTTCTATAGAAATGATGATTCAGAAAGAAAGTGGCGTCGAATTGCACGATTTTAGTGCTTACGGTATTTGGAACTGTGTCACTAGAACATAATTTATTTACACTTATCTACAAAAATATTCAATAAAAAAGCTAATAATTAAGATCACTCATTTTAAGATGGGTGTTTTTGCAAGAGGTTATAAGCATATTCCAGATTTGCAAATAATTTACTGTCAATACTCTTATTACCATGATTTTTAATTTGGATTATATGAGTAGGTCATACAATATTCTAAATTTCAAAATTAATTCGAATCCATCTGTTTAAACCGTTTTCAAGGGTTGCCCAAAACCAAAGCCGGATATGTTGAATGTGCACATTGTGCCCCATACTCACGACGATGTCGGTTGGTTGAAAACGTTTGATCAATACTATTACGGCACAAAATCGTTTCATCAAAAAGCAAATGTACAGAATATTCTTGATTCGGTGATTGAAGCGCTGTTGAGTGATCCAAACAAGCGATTTATTTATGTGGAATCGGCATACTTCTTCAAATGGTGGAATGATCAAACGCCAACACTGAAAGAGCAGGTCAAACAATTGGTAAACGAAGGACGATTGGAATTCATTGGAGGCGCTTGGAGCATGAACGATGAAGCTACAACGCATTATCATAGTACTGTCGACCAATTTACATGGGGCTTACGGTAAAATATAATACATTCTTGATCGAAGAAACTGTTTTGGTTTTGACAAAAACCGTTTTGTATATATCCGTTTTGTCCAAAATTAGGAGACTGAACGATACCTTCGGTGAATGTGGACGTCCAAAAATTGGATGGCAAATCGATCCATTTGGCCATTCAAGAGAATTTGTAAGAGATATACTCAAATCATAATGATGATTTAATCATTTGTTTTACAAAATTCGACAGGCATCACTTCTTGCGCAAATGGGATACGATGGATTATTCTTAGGTCGTATCGATTATCAAGACAAATCCAAGCGACTTGCACTTAAAAATGCCGAAATGATTTGGCAATCAAGCGCCAATTTGAAGCAAAATGACATATTTACTGGTGTTTTGTACAATATGTATCAAGCGCCACCAGGATTCTGTTTCGATGCCCTATGCCCTGATGTAATTCTCATCTTCCGAATCTCTGCTAATTATGTTTATAATTTTTATTTCATTTAATTTTATGTTCACCAGGATCCAATCATCGATGACAAAAACAGCCCCGAATACAATCTGGACCAAAAGGTTACTTGCTCTTGTTAACAATTTTTTATTCACAAATTGTTCGAAATGAATTTTAATCTCTATGCGTATATTTCCTACTTACTGTCCATTTGAAAAAAAGATGAAGTTGTTCTACGATTTCATTGAGAAACAAGCTAAAACGACACGTACGAATAACATTATTCTCACGATGGGAGGTAATTTTTTTCATAGAGTTTTTCATTCCAAATATGTGGTAATTTTTCTTAAAAATTCGCTATAGATGACTTTGCATTTATGGATGCGGCTTTCGCTTTTTCCAACTTGGATCGATTGATAAAGTAAGGACTAAAAAGACTGGAAATTGGCATGCCAACGATTTTAAACATTTTCATTTTTGCTCCCTAATGTCGATCTTATTTATTGAAATAATGAAAAAAACGTTCTCATTCTTTAACCATTAAGAAACACAAATAAACGTCAAGCCAATGGCCAAAAAATCAATGCATTCTATTCAACTCCGTCGTGCTATTTGAAAGCATTGCACGAACATAATACTACATGGCCAACGAAGAGCGATGATTTCTTCCCATACGCTTCCGATGAACATTCATACTGGACGGGCTACTTCACATCACGGCCAACATTGAAACGCTTTGAACGATTCGGAAATCATTTCTTACAGGTATGCCGCCATTGTATGCTAGATTGCATGTTAGATTTCAGTTCGAGTCCTTCCTGATTCACTAAATATCACAATTTTTGTATTAAATGACAAATCAGTTGAACTAAACACACATTATTTCCTAGCTCATTGAAAACTACATGCGCCACACTTTCTTCAATTTCTAAATATTTTTTCCATTCCTAAGGTCTGCAAACAATTAAGTGTGCTCGCAAAGAACAAAACTGCCAACTTTGAAGAAAATCTATCTGTTTTAAGAGAAGCGATGGGTGTAATGCAGCATCATGACGCAGTGACAGGCACTGAAAAGCAGCATGTTGCCGCTGACTATGCTCGTCTGCTACAAATTGGAATTGATAAATGCAGTGAGAACATCAAAGAGTCGCTCAATCAATTGACAATTGATGACGATAATTCGGGAACGTCTCAAGACCAAAAGCTTAAATTCGATTTCAAAACATGTCCGGATTTGAATATCAGTTCATGTGATGTTTCTGAAAATAGTGAAAAATTCATGGTGACACTCTACAATCCATTGGCTCATTCAACACATCAATATGTTCGAATTCCTATATCTCTCGATAGCGAATATGGGGTGTTTGATCATAAAAATGAAGCCGTGAGCTCACAAATCGTTTCAATTCCCAACGAAGCTCGAATAATACCCTTTCGAAAAAGTCAGGCAGAGTCAGAGCTCGTTTTTCTGGCCACCGACATACCACCACTCGGATATAAGTCGTATTTTATTCAGAGAAAATCCATTGAGAAAGAAGCCAAGAATAGAAAAATTGACAACAAAATTGATGGATTCGGTGCATCTACTCGTTTGCAAAACGTTTTAGCTCCCTTCTCAATCGGAAATCAAAATCTCAAATTGAATTTTGATGACGATGGAATTTTGGAATCAGCTGAAAGCGATGGCGTTCAGATGGAAGTTCAACAAAACTTCCACTTTTATAAGGCATTCGTCGGTTTGAATTTCCGACCTGACCAACGATCATCTGGAGCTTATATTTTCCGACCGAATCAGACTTGGGCTACGTCAATTGTTTCCCAAGCGCGTGTACGAGTATTTAGAGGCGATTTAGTAGATGAAGTTCATCAGGTAATTTTCAACATCCATCACGTGATTCTCTGTTCAAATACTTGATTCGAAATTCAATTTCAACACCTTACCTACCATTTTTCTTCTTTGCAGACCTTTAACGAATGGTTAAGCCAGGTGATAAGAATTTATAAGAATGAAACATACGCCGAGTTCCAGTGGGTTGTTGGGCCAATTCCAATTGGTTTCGAAATTATCACAAGATTTGATACAGATATTGAATCGAATGGAGTTTTCTACACCGATTCGAATGGACGGGAAATGATAAAAAGACGACGCAATCACCGTGATACATGGAATTTGACGTCGTCGGAGCCAACCGCTAGCAATTACTACCCAATACCATCGAAAATTGTTATTGAAGACAACACCCGTCGATTTGCCATTCTAACCGATCGCTCACAGGGTGGAAGCAGTTTGGAAGATGGATCCATTGAATTGATGGTGAATTCATTTCCCTTTCTTTGGGCTTTAATCACTCAAATTATTAACCTTCTGATCCAATTTCAGGTTCATCGTCGACTACTACGTGATGATTCGTTCGGAGTTAGTGAAGCTTTGAACGAGATGGCGAATGGAAAAGGATTAGTTGCACGAGGTACAAGCTACTTTGTGTTCAGTCCAAAGAAAAAACCATCTACTCAAGCTAACGAACGGTTTCTTCAGCAACAAGTTCTCCTGCCAAATTGGTTGTTCTTTAGTAATGTCAGCCATCTCAGTTACGATGTGTGGAGGAATTCATATAAAAATATCGTATGTGTCTCTTCATTCATTGCACCAAGCATCTCCAAAATTCGCAATGAATTTTTCCAATATTTCTTTTCTAATCGATTCGATTTGTCAATTTCAGTTCTCAGGCCTGTCGCTTTCACTCCCCAAAAATATTCACTTGCTCACATTCGAGCCATGGAAATCTGACTCGATTTTGATTCGTTTTGAGCATATTCTAGAGAAGGATGAAGACAAAGAATATTCGGAGGCAGTGACATTCAACTTCCAAGATGTGTTCCGGTCGTTTGATGTGATATCGATTCGTGAAACTACACTCGCAGGTAATCAATGGTTGGAAAAGGCAGAACGACTTCAATTCATAGCAGAAACAGACAACCAGAGTACCAATGCTGTGATAGATGATTCAGATAAAGACTCAGATGGCACACCAAGTGAAAACTTTCAAATCACAATAAACCCAATGGAAATTCGAACGTTCGTCGTCGAAATGAAACGGAAAGCTATGGACAATAATAAACTGAAACAAGTCAAATCTACACCATCAACAGCGTAGTAAACAAAACCCTAATTATTTTTCCTTATTTATTTGTCAACTTAAAATTTTTATTTACAAGGCAAAAAAAGACAGAATTTGTTTTTCTTAACAATTGGTTTCCTTAAATTTAAAATGTTTACGGATCTGCTTATTGCTCCTAAAAGACAATTTAGGTAATAAAAAAAGAAACAATTCAATACGAATTGATTTGTGTGTGTGTGTGTTTTTTTTTCTCTCTATATTTTATTTTCAAATGCCGATCATTCGGCATTTACACAATATTCAAGACATACCCATGACATTCATGAAATATATATAATTAATTATCGATTTTTATTCCATCGGGTGTTCACTAAATTTATTTTAAATTGTTTAAAAACTACATAACTTATGTCGTAGAAATGTTCTTATAGATCCAATATTTTGGGTCGTTTGCGGCATCGTTTCGATTTGCGTGTGTGGCTGTCGTCGGTGTCTTCGACCGTTGACTCTGGATCGGTGGTGAGTTCGTTTGTGAAATCCGTTTCAGTGTCTTCCGATCGGAAGCTCCTTCGTTCGGTAATTGGCAACGTGGCGTTTGGTTCATTGGACGCATTATGAATGGTATGTTGCGTTGAACTGAGCGCCGTGTGAATGTTTGCGAATTGTGTTTGCATTTCATTGGTTGTGTCCAATTCCATTGGATGGATCTCATTTGTCAGATCAACCAATTCGATGGTTCCTTCACTATTGACCTTATTACCAATATCCACAATGGAAACGTACGGGTTTGTTGTCGATGCAATTGAGATGTGTTGCTCTTTTTTACTTTTCCTAACGGACTTCTTGCGCGGCGCTGAGTCTTTGGTGCCTTTTTTTCTGCCACGTTTTTTTGATGTATCAAATATATCGATAGCCGAATACCGCTGGACCGTGTGTGTTTTTCGTGGGCTAGTTGTTCGATTTGTTGTTTTCGGTCGCTTTGTAGCGCTGAACGAAATGCGACGCGTATGAAATGACATGCGTCGCGCACTGAATGAAATGCGTCGTAATGCGGATGAAAGGGAAGTGAATGAGGATAGGGTGATGTTTGGTTTGATGTAAGTCTTTCGGGCGAGTATTGTCGATGGTGTACTTTGTTGGCTGCTCATTTCATTCGTACTGTCAACCATTTGACCATTCGATCGATTCATGAATGTCTGCAGCATGCTGCTATCATTCAAATTACTATCACTATTGATACTCCTGCTATTATTGATGGACTTATTGTAATTGCGACGCTTCAGAATCGTTGCAATCTTCTGCGAATCGATCATGGGAATGCCGAAAATTTGTGAAATTCGTCGTGCTTGCATGGCTCTCAATGCTGGTGTTTGTGTATTGAAAATGGCATCGATGGTCATTTTGATTGTGTTGCGTCGTCGTGATCGTTTTGGTTTTGCTGCTGGCACTTTTTCACGTGATTTCTCAACCGGTTCCGGTTCGGGTGGTTTTTGTTTTGGTTTACGTTCGCGTAGCACTCTCTTTTCAAAGACCACCTCCTCTTCATTGGGATCCTTTGGTGGTTTCGGCTGCCTTGGTTTTCTCGGTTGTCGCGGTGCTTTTGGCGGCTTTGGCACGATTGGAGTGGTTCCTGGTTCTGGCAACGGATACTTTCGCGGCCGACCACGTTTCCTTTTCACAACCACCTCAGTCGATCCTATTTCACTTGCGTTCACACAAGCAAGCGATTGTACGTGTTCAGTCACATTTGGTGTATCGATCGACGTCGATGCAATCGGAGTCGAAGCGGTCGGTGTCGATGATGAATACATTGGACTACGAATTCTCGGTGAACCACCCGATCGAACTGGTGGCAATTCCGTTGTATTGAAAATATCACGCAAAAATAGCTCATCGTCATTTCTTTCGGTTAGCAAATATCGATCCTTTTTACTGCTGTTATTCTCTTCGATCGTTGTAACCGGTGACGGACACCCTGACAAACTGTATCGTGATGTTTGTGTGGATATAGTTTTCGTTTCCACCAATCGCCGCGGTCGCCTTGTGTATGTTTTGAGGTGGAAATTCGGATCGATGCCATTGGCAAGGAACGTGAGAGGACTATCATTTGATAAGCGTGGCGATTTAACCTCCTCCGGTTTCGGTGATTCCGCAGTCGGGCCATTGCTCCACAGATCATTGAAAATTAAAGCAGCATCGCGATCCTTGAACAATACATCTTGTTCGGATTTCGATAGCAATGACGTTTCATTGATAACACTGGCCGTTGATTCTGCCACCGGCACAAATTCCATCGATAAATTCGCTTGTGCTGGTTCGGTGTTCTCATTTTCCTTGTTTGATTCAATTTCCACGTCATTTGTCTGCGGAATTGGACTCGACGCCGTGTTAACTCTACTTGTTGCCGCTTCTTTCGTGTGAACGTCATTGCTTGTGCCACTCTCGTTAAGTGGTTGTCCATGATTTTTCAAATCATTGTTGACCACTTCGTTGATGGTTTTCAGTGTTTCCTCGTGATTTTTCAATGACGAATCGCTTGATATAATATTATCACAATTTTCAGCCGGCTCAACTTCTGCGGGTGTTTTCGAATCAATATGATTTGGTTGCACAGTTGATGGTGTTTCGTTGGTTGCATCTGGATTATGATCGCTGCTCAGCGTTGTCAATGATGAATCTCCGTTACTTGAACAGGGAACTGGTTCATGAGTCAAAATGCCATTTTCTTTATCCAATTTTTCACTCTGCACATCTTCCATTCGACACACACTTGATTCTCCATTCTCTGTGATTTTGATATCAGACGAAGCGCTTCCATTGCCCGGAATGCTCACTTGCGTTGAATTGATGTCATTCACCAGCCGATTGAACATCGATTCATCGAGCGTCGATAAATTTCGATCGTTCTCCCCATTCACATCTGGTACCTTTGCTTCAGAAGTCGATGGCAGTTCACTTGGGCTTGGTTGTTTCTCCAATACTATATCCGAGTGCTGTGCACTCTCGCCATTACGGTCGGTGACTAAGGAATTGGTTGTATCCATGTTCAGATCACAGCTATCAAGAGAGGAAAGTGATGGCGTATTTTTGTTGTATGACGGCTGTTGCGCCGGCGGTGGTGAATCAATCGAAACGGTTTCGACAACATTTTGGCTATGCGACGACTGATTGCCCATTTGTGAACTAGCCGAATACCAATCGAAATCATAACTCATATCGTCATGGTGACTGCATGTTGCACTAGAGCCTTCATGATTCGAAAACGAATCATCCTCATCCTCGTCATCAGTCAATATAATGATTTCCTCGTTTTGTCGCACTTCTGATCGCAATTCGGCCTTTTTTATGCAACGAATCAATGGCGCTAACGCATACTCTTTATTCAGAATATCGTTGGAATCGGCTATAGTTACAAATCCTTCCTCATCAACGGGCAGATATGGCTTGAACAGGGAATTCATACTGTAAGAAGAGAATCAGAATAAATACGCAATCGAGAAGTATAGTACTTTGAGTCGGATAGCATTCACTTACCAAATTGTTTTCTTCGGTTTTACACATTTAACGAAGGCATCTCGCGCTTTACGCCGCTCCTCGGGAACTTCTTCGATGTACAGCCATTTTTTGAACATAATCAAATTCTTCATGAACAACGTGTCCGGTAGTTCGATGGGCATCTTTCGCACAAGGAAATATCTGCAATTTTTTTTTTTTTGAAAAATATTTGTCGAAATCAAATTTTCATAAGTTGTTTAGTGAATGAATTTGTTGGATTTTGAATGAAACTTTAACTGAAATGAATAAAATTGTGACATAGAAAAAATCATAAAGTAATTTATTGAAAAGGGTTTTAAAAAAAAGTACGTATAATTTATATAGATTTTGAATCTTAAGTGCATTTCAGTGACTAAAGTCACCAGCCAAGCCAAAATGGGTTTAAATAAATATTTGCACAAAAGTTTGGAAAATCAGTAAATAAAATCATTTATTTGAGTGTAATTGTTGATAAAAATAAAAAATGTAAATGAATAAAAGAATGACCAAAGCAAAATATCGACCAGCAAATAAATTCAGCTATACTCACTCAAACAGAAGCACTAAAATGCCGCGATGCTGACGCCACAACCGTTTTGTATTGAGCAAAACATCCAGAACCATCGAATTATCCGAATGCTGCACAATAGACACAATGATACGTGTTAATTTCTGTTGCCACTAGAGGCCTTTAGTTGTATGGATAAAGTGATACTTACATCCAAATACGTTTGATAGATCAAAACTATCCGCTCAGCAATGGATTTATCATATTCGGCACCTCGCAATGACGCACACAGTTCCAGATCCGTATAAATTGATAATATTTTGATGAATCGCTTATAGTACCGCTTTCCCTGGAAATGATGAAATTCATTATTAGTTTTGGTCTCATAAAATACATTTTAAACATGTGTCGAATTTCCAATTGGACGAATAAATTATTTAAAAAAAATACCAAATACCTTTTCCAGCGACCGGAACAGATACTTGTAGATATGTAAGTATGTGCGAATGTAGTGGGATAGAAAATCAGCGGTATTTGGTTTGATTATTTTCTCATAGTCTTTCGTCAATTTGCTAAAAAATGAAAAACAAAATTCGATTAATTTCGTGATAATGAAACGATATTATCGATTGCAAATTGATAGATTTTCGTCTATTTTCAACCGAATTTTGTATGCATACAAACATTATAAAATGTCCAAAATCTTTAAATTGCATCTAACATTTTCAAATTTATTCCAAAACGAACCTAATAAAACGATCCATTGACTCAAGTATGGTATGCTTCTGTAAGGTTTGAATGCTTCCTGTATGACAAAAATATTTTCAGTAAATAAATGTCAATGTTCGAATGACGTCATATGAGAAACTAACCTAAACACATGCGAAGATCCTTTTCGATGTCGGACAACCAGTGGGCGAAACTCAATGCGGCTTGTTTTTGTTTCTGTTTTTGCTTTTGACTGGTTGGTTTTTGTGCTGCAATAGCTGCGGTTGCAATCATAAGCCGATCGATGGGTATGCGTTCAAGTGGCTCAAAGGTGCTAACCATCTTGGGCATTGCCACTTCATTGCTGTACGATGTTGATGGTGTGGCGGTGGCATTTTTCTGTAAAAATCGCGATTCATCGTCGCTGGATGAACTTTGTGATTCCTGATCATGGTACGATTGAATCAAATCCATTTGGATGCTAAATCACGTTAAATTTGTCAGCGTACCGATTGTTGGTTGGTTGGTTGGTTGTTTATGTCTTAGTTGTGTATTTGCCTGAGTACAATGGGAGGGAAAGAGAGAGAACAAACATGGCATCAAAACTCACGAACGCACATATCAATGTCATTGAAAGTTGATAATAAATAAAATCACTGGTATTGAATGCACAAATAGAGTATCATCACAAGCCGATTTTCCATTTTTTTTTAAACAGTCTTTGTAACAAAAATTGCGATACGATTTCAGTCGTCAACCACACACACTCAAACATAAACAACGCGGTAAGTGAACTGAACACAGATTTTGTAAATTACGCCAAAATTTGGCGTGCATTTTTGTGGGAAATCAAGTTATTAAGCACCATTGCATCGAATAACACGGAAAAAAACACGACAACCAATATAAATCTCGGCAAGAAAGTCATTAACGCTAGGGCTAAGACTGACGTCGAGGCATGGTGGTGTTGTATGTGCGCCAAAGCGTTTATTTTTTTTCCTCTCTTCTCTACTAACAAGTTTTACCTTTTTAATTCGATATTGATTGCATTTTTCACACTGTCTTTGCATTTATCGTAAGCACTTTTTATCAAATCCAATGAAATTTCAGCTGCTTTTGCATTTTACACCATCAATTTTTATGCCATTGAGATTGTTGGAAACTTTTTTCTGGCTCTTTTCCATTCAGAATCGACTCAGTTTTACATATTTTTTTTTGACATTTCGATATTTTCTATCAAATTATATATCGGCAAGTGGCGCACCAATCGTGTTTCAATTCTACTATCACAATGGGCCAATGTCACGCGGATGTGTTCCGTGCGTATCGGATGTGCGCCATTATTGTCAGATGGCGACACATGTAATTTGGTTGTGAATCGTTTGAATTTACTTTTTATTTCTTTTTTCATTTTTCTTTTAATTCAAAGTTAATTATCATGGGAAATCAAAGTAACATTCATTGAAATAAAAGCAAACTACATATATTCAAGTGTAACGAAATAAACTAGGTCATTTTGAATTTCTCTTGCACTGAGTGTCAAGTTGGCGAACGTTTATCAAGTTTCGACTATTTTCAATCGAGTGTGTTGTGCGTTCCGTGCAATTCCAATGAGAATGTAAACCACAACGTATATTGGTATGCAGTAACAAAATTATAATTTGTGTGGGCGAACAAGCGAGAGAGAGAGAGAGAAAGAGGAAGAGAGATCGAGAGTGAGTGAATAAACATTGATTGCAACGCCATGAATCAACGACGAACGGAAGGACACATGGTAATTTTGTTCTTTGCCATGCCATATCAGCAAAAACCTCACAAAACGTTAATGCTGCGTTACGAGACTAGAAATAGATTTGCAGTCCTTCATTTTAATCCCCCAGACGATGTTATTCATCTTCCAAAATCCGATGTGACCGCAAATAGTTAGATGGGATTTTCCGTTGCAAAAAGGAATGTTGCCGCCCCGAAAAACGAGATCATTTGGAACATTCAGCCGAAATGTGTGTGTGAATCGGATAGAAAATCAGTTGTTTCAACACCGTAATAGGATTTTTGACGCATGTAAAGGGGTCCAAAATCCAATCCCAATGATATTATTCATTAATAAGGAGATAATTTCATTTATGTATTCATCGATGTCAATGTCTTCATTAGTATGGAAGAATCTGGGCTAAGTTTACCTAGCCACCACATACCATAGACGTATATATTTATTAAATATGAATATTTTACAAATTCAACACTTAAAGTGTTTGTTGTGTGTGTGTGTGTGTGTGTGAGTAGTTCCACGAGCGAAAGAAAGGCGATGATTCGTTCGGGAGGATTTTTGGGTTTGAAAGTTTCGTAACCACTTCAAAATTGTGCCATCAATAATAATTCCGTTGAATTTTTTATAGGTCAGCTGCTTCGATGTAAAATTGTAAATTATTGGAGCCGGAAAATCGTTTTCGCTTCGGTCGATTCGTACACATATGAACATGAGCACAGTAGTGCATTGGGCTGTATTGCGAGTGAGGGTAAGAGCAGAAGTGGAAGGAGACGTAAACAGGGAAAAAGAGTATGTGTGTGTGTGTGTGTGAGAGAGAGAGAGAGAGAAAGATAGAGCCATAGATGATAATATGTCTTCATTGAACCGAGGTCATTTTCAATAGACGTGGTCATTGTTTCTTTCGATTGAGTATTGCCTTTTTTGAATCACTTCGTGGTGCTTTATGGTCGATACCTTTTAAAATATACCATTATTTATGGATATTTCAAGGAGGCATGAGAGAGGGAGAATGAGCTACAATGCATATATATCGCCCTACGGCCGTTGCTTGATTATTATGGTATGCAAGTACCAAGTTCCTGGTGTGTGTATGTATGTGTCTGTGTGTCGCAATTTCCCATTCGGACCCTTTTTCGTATTTCCTATAGCTCAGTATCTGTTTGGCCAGACGTTATCATTCGTTATTTATGCGAATCATACAATTGTGATATTGTTGTCCATAACCGTTTTCTCAAAAGCATTTTTAGCATATTTGTGGCAAATAACCCGAGCCGAAAGCAATCGTGAGTAAGCGTCTCTGTGTATACGGTATATACTATACAGAGAGAGTGCAAAAAGCATATTTCAAAAAGGCAAAACAGCAAAATGATGACGAACTCAATTTGAATGTGGATATCGAATACTTTGAGCGACATGAAGGAATGGCTTTGCCCATTACGCCAACCGTAACAACAACAACAACAACAACAACAACAGCAGCAAAAGCTTCGATGGCAGCAAAAATCTAGCTCTTTTTCATTAACTTCACAGGAACAATAAAGGATGGTTTAAGTGAAATGACAGGCTACGGAAGTACATATCTTTGTGTGTTTATAATGCGAGAATGACCGTAAAATTCTGACATCAATAACAATCTTCAATTCTTCTGGAAAAATGCCAAAACACGCTCGCTCACCAACACATACACATGAATCATGTTGATTTTTTGCATTCATCACTCACTTCATTCATGAATTTTCATTCGGACGAAGAAAATGGACAGATGTAAACTCTGAAGAATTTAACCAACAAATGTACACAGAATTAGAACAAGAGCGAGGACGAGAGGGAGAAATAGAAAGGAAAAGAGACGGACAGATCGAGCAAAAAAAAGAAAATAAGCGGCGAGCGACAGCGTTCGGTTCAGTGTTTGGTGGAAAGCAATTTTTTCCACGTTTGTTTGGTGCAAAAATGCTTTAGCAATTTAATTTTGTGTTTTCTGAGTTGTGAATTCACACACACAAAAGTTGCTTTTCGCAAACGCTCAATGGAAACGGTTTTTGTCGCTGTTGGCAATGTTTGATTCTATTGTTTGTCGGCATAGAAGTTCGTTGATTTCTTTTTTGTTTGTCAAACGATGAAGAAAAAAAAAATTCTACAGATTTCAGTATCGCATTCCATGCCAAGCCACACGCCTGTTTTCATATTAGACTTTTTTTTATATTCCAGCGAGCGGTGTGGTGTGTGTTGGTGAATATGCCTTTGGCTATTGTTTCGTTTTTTGTGTGTACTGATAGGTCTGAAGGGTTTTTTTGTGTGCCATCCTAATTCCTGTTTTCACTCTGACATGGTGTAGATATTTTCGCTTGTCATCTTCGAAAGAATGCACAAAATAAATGTGTTTACATTTGGTTGCTGCTGAGTTGACTTTTTTTTTCTTCTCTTCGCCGCACTGGTTTCATTGCACGATGTGATATTTTGTGTGAAAAAAAATTTCCGTCAAGAAAGCCATCATCGGAATGGTCCATTCAAAAGCTGTATGTTCGTGTTTGTGTGCCAATGAAAAAGTCACACAGCACAACACGAATAACTAGAGGAGTAAAGTGACGGAAATTTACTTAAAAACATATTATGAAACAGCAAAAACGACAATTCAAATGAGTGCCATTTGAGTCAAACAATGGAGTAAAGTGAGCAGCGCCACCACCACCACCACCGCCTCCCCTCGTGCCAAGCAACATTTTTTGGGAGAAAAAGGTCGAAATGGCAACCGAAAAGTGATATCTTATCCGGCGAATCAATGAGTTACAAGAAAGCATTTTTGCCCATTAGCCAAACCAAATGGCAAGCAATGTGATGCGGCCGCACGGCGCGCGCACATCGTTTCAGCTTTTACCTAATTACTTGAGAACAAAACTTTTAACACAACATGATAAATGGAATAAAATTGAATGTTGAATGCGTGTATTTGCCCTATAATGCTCCTGTTCTTTCATCTTGGATTGCTTGCTTGCTCTTTGGCTGGGCTCTGTTGTCAGTTGACGGTTTCGATGTCGATCTGAACTATGACGACTCCTCTTTTTACTGCTGCCACCATCCACTCCAATGCCTCATTGCTCTCTCTGCCGTCGCCACCACCATCATCAGGCTTCTGCTGGATTTGTCGTCAATGGTTAAGCATTTAGCATGCTTTTGTTGTTTTCCCTTTTGTCTACATGTCACTAAAATGTGATTCATGAGCGGAGCTTATAAATGAACAATTTACAATGTATATAGAAAACCAGATACAGCAGATAGACAACGACAACAACGAGCACATTGGAGCACACAGAAGGGAAATGAGCATTTTA